CGTCCACTGGCCGCTACATTCCGCTCACACTCGCTACACGCGCCGAGGGGGCGGGCTCTCCGCTATGGACCCAATCCGCCGCCGACTTTCACCAGGCCCCGCCCCGCCAGCAATGTTGTCTCCACTTCCATTGGTTATAATGGCTGTCGGTCAACTCCATAGTCCCGGTCCCGCCCCCACTCCCGGCTGACTCCTCCCACTCTCAGCCCTGATTGGACCACGAGCTGCCGACTTTCACTCAATGGGTGATGTCATAATGGTAGATCACGTGCCCCCAACCAAAGGCATTCTTATATCAGAGCCATGAGACTGATTGACTGATTGATTGATTGATTAGTTGACTGATTGGTTGATTGACTGATTGATTGATTGACTGGTTGGTTGTTTGGTTGATTCGCTGGTTGGTGGGACATAAAATTAGTCAATTTTACTGTAAATGTTTCACTCACCAGTGTTTGTGCCAACAACAACAACAACAAATTACATTTGAATAGGGCCCCCACTGGTACACTCTAATCTTGAACCAATAAAATTAGTCACTCACTTCATGGCTGTTTGTGGGATGTTGCATACAAATTGACTGCTACGGGATTTTTTCTGGCTACAAAACAAACAGTCACTACGCTCCATAGTAATTAGGGGAATGTGGAGAAGTGGGTCTGAGTGAGAAGAGTCCACCTCCATAAGGAAGGGTTTCATTTTTTGGACAGACTGCTGAAGGAGCAGGCTTGAGTTAGTTGAATAGCCTTTTCACCATAGTACCAAAGAAATTTACAGTACAGAGGGACGCCATTCGGCCCATTGTGTCTCACTTCAATCCCATTTTGCCCATATCCTTTTTAATATTTCTCCGCTTTAGATATATCTCCTTTTGTAATTCAATGTTTTGATAGTACATGTTAATCTTTCCTATTTGACTTATTTGTTTTCAAGCACAGCAATCCATAAATTAATTAATGGAACACAACATTTTGAGCATCAAATATTGTTTTTCGGTGCAAAATTGATGGGCCTCTTTCTGCTCTGTAAATGTCTGATTCTATTCTACAGGGCCTCATATGAGCATCTTCCTTCTCCTGTATCAATATTTTCTGCTCTCTGTATATAGACCCCCACCTAAATTCGCACTCCTGAATTAGGCAAATCAATCCAGGAGACATCACCAGAGCAACCCTCACTAGGACCTCACAGAAAGAGAAACTGAATGGAAATGTTATTCAGGTTTGGGCTTTCAAGGTTAGGAGGTCAAAATAGAAACAGAAGTAGGCCATTCAGCCTCTCGAGCCTGTTGCACCATTCTGTTGCGCCATTCTGTAAGATCACAGCTCATCTGTAGCTCATGTCCAATAACCTGCCCTTGCCCCGGATCCCATAATACCCTGACTAACAAATATCTATCCACTTCAGTCTTGACACCTCCTAGTCCTATTTCCTTGTGCGCCAAGAACACAGAGATTAAATTAAACAATTTTAAGTAATTGATTTACAAAAATCTACACCTGCTATCATAAACCCTCATGATATCATTTGTACTGCATCCAAAGCAATAGTATGGGTGTTGTTCATTTGGTTGAAAATTTAATTGTATCCAGGATGGGAAATGAAAGATTAGATCGGATATTGAAATACCATTGCAGCTGCTTGGAAAGGTGATAATGTAAGATTAAGTAACATATTGTAAACGTAACAACAACAATTTGCATTTATCAGACTCAGGTAACATTTCAGAGCACTTAACAATAGTGGAGCTTTTACTGGAAGCTACCGAAAAGAACGATGTGATAAGGCGCTATATCTAACGCAAGGATTATTATTATCATTAAAAGCAAATGAAAAGACTGGGAGAAATGTTTGTGGAACATTTATTAAACATGGGCTATTGAGACCCAGACGAGATTTGAAAGTAGATATTTGAATAGAAACAATGTAAAATAAGAGAATGGGGAAAGAGGAGAGAATCATAAGTCATGAGTCTCTGAATCAGAGGATGGGGTTTCAAACTCCACATCAGTCTAGGCTAATGCTCCAATACAGTACTGGTGGAGGGCTGCGTTGTAGGATGTGCCATCTTTCAGATGAGAGGTTAAACCAAAGTCCCCTATTCCTGTTCAGGTAAAGATCCCATGGCACTATTTGAAAAGAGAAGGGAGTTTCCCCTCGTGTTCTGTCCAACAATCCTTCAAATTAAATTAATCATTCGTTTCATGGCTGTTTGTAAGTCATTGCTGTACCAAAATTGTCTGCTGAGTTCACCCGCATACAAAATACACAGTCAGTACATTTTTTACAGTAAATTCTATGAGGTGGTTTGAGACATCCTCCCAACATGAAAGGTGCTGCCTCAAATAAAATGGAAGGATTGATGCTCATCTCTTCCATTGTAAAGTGCTGTGAGATGTAAATGGGGTTGTCATAGTGCCCTGGTCATTCAATAATAAAAAAAAGTGTTCGAAGCGATTGTGATAGGGCAGATGTATCAACATATATTGGAACACAAACTTACTCTCACACCCACATAATAGCCTTTCACCAGAGTTGGTGTTCTTTAAATGTTCCAGGAACTTCACGTGCTTAAAAAATCGCCAGCTGCCGTGAAATTGTTTTGCTGAAAGAAAGCAAAGGAGGACTATCAATATAAATCAAAGTACAATAGAATCAAAAATGCAGCTTTCAAAATGTACTTGGCTCTCTCTGAAATGACTCCAGAATGAAGTATGGATTATGCAAGGATGAATAAATGACTTGTAAAATATCAATTGCATTTCTAAAACAATTACATCACCTGTGATACAATTTTGTATTATTAGAATCATAAATCATAGAATTATACAGCACAGAAGGAGGCCATTCGGCTCATCATGCCTGTGCCAGTTCTTTGAAAGAGCTGTCCAAATCAATCCCACTCCTTCACTCTCTCTCCATAGCTTTGCAAATTTGTCCTCCCCAAATATCTATCCACTTCTCTCAGTTCTGTCTTTAGAATCATAGACATTGATAGCACAGAAGGAAACCTTTTAGTCCATTGAGTCTGCACTGGCTCTCAGAGCAAGATGTTCATTCTATCTCACTGCCCTGCGTTATTCCCATACCTCTTCAAGTCTCTATCAACAACAAAATACAACAACAACAACAAAATTACATTTGTATAGCGCCTTTCACGTTAGGAGGACATCCCAAGGCCCTGAAGGTTATCCTTCTCCATATACAGTACCTTCTCCTGAAGAGACTGACTCATACTGGGATTGAAGTTCATTGGTACTGGCTTGCCATCGAATAGTAATAATAATAATAATCCTTGCATTTGGTACAGTGCCTTATCACGTCTTCGAGACGTCTCAAAGAGCTTCACAGAATACACTGTAATGTGAATTGACTGTATATTTTGTGGGCAAAACGCGGCAGCCAATTGCGCACAGCAGTGTTCCACAAACAGTCGGGGATTGAGTGACCAAATTTATTACTATTATTTTTGAAGGAATTATTACTCCCGGAAAAGTGATCCGCCAATCGACTAACAACTGGGGTCCTACTTTTACTGTAAGGTAAACAGAGGAGTGTGGAGCAATGGAACTTGCCCAACGTTTCGCCCTGCCCGGGAATCAATCCCAGGTTTCTCGCTTGCAATGCCTTGCCCAGGTGATCAATCCTCTTGTGGGAGTTTACATAGTGACTGACAGTGAGGGTAGTCCAATGCGGTCTTCACTCAATATCTACACACGTATACTGTCTAGCAAGATCACACAAAGTAAAATGCAGATTGACTGCTGGGTTTACTTGACAGTATTTACTGCAAAGTGTTTTGAGGTGTTATGACATAAAAATTTGTGAAAAAATACAAGTTCTTTCTTTCAATCACTTACTTCATTGCTGCTGGTGGCACCTTGTTCTGTATAAATTGGTTGATGTGACATCTTAATAATACACTTAATTAATAAGTCACTGCACTTGATAGCTATCACTCGTGCAAAGTGTTTGAGATATTTATAAGATAATAATAATTCTTGCTCTTGATGCAATACAAGGATTATTATTATCTTGAATGCAACTCCCCTCACTAAGGGAAGTTACTTCATTCTGCTTGTTCTTTATATGACACTTTAAACCGAGGTCCTGTCTGTTTGTTCTTTTGTTTTTTAAAGATCCCGTGGACACTATTCAAAAGGAGAGAGAAAGGAGTTTCTCCCAGTGTCCGAGTCAACAATCCCAAGATAAAGTTGATCATTCATTGATAAAGTTGATCATTCGCTTCATTGTGGGAGATTTATATGCCTGACTGGCTGTCATATTTGGTACAAAAAAAAGTTACTACACTTGAGATGCCTTCCCAACGTGAAAGACGCTGTATCAAATGTAAGGATTATAGGATTACTATTAGTCAAAACATACTGACTAACAAGTTAATCTGTCAGTTGAGATATCTAGAACAGGTGGTATTGATTGTAATGCACCATGTAACTGCATCTGCCACAACATAATAACAGCATGTATGGCATGAAAGAATCTGAACAGTTCTGTTCAGAAGTTAGTCTCTCCACAAATTACACTCCTTGTTTTGAGCACATCATCAATCGTCAATTTATTAACCAAAATTAATGGGCAGAAAAAAGATGTAAAAATAAAAAAAAGACTTCTTATAGAATTTCTTATAGTGGTATTCACATCGGGAGGACATCTCAAAGAACTGAACAGGATTTACTGTAAAATGCAGTTACTGTGTCATTTGCAATCAAACACAACAGCCAATTTGTATGCAAACATTTCAAAAAAAATTCTAAATAGAAGCACCTTGAGACATTATAGGCAATATAACAAAAGCAAGGTTCACCCACAAAACACACAGCCATTAGACTTTACAGTAAATCCTGTGAAGAGCTTTGAGACATCCTCCAGACTTGAAAGCCGTTATACAAAATGCAAGGATTATTAATATTATTACAGGGATTATTATTATATTATTGTGAACAAATTGTTGGCCTGTTCCTCATTGTTTTCCTTCAATT